TTTCCTTTTCTTTCTTTTTTCCCTACTTTTTCTTTTTTCCTCTCTCTTTTTTTCCTAACTTCATTTTTTTCCTTTCTTTATCTTTTTCTCTTTTTCCTTTTTCTTCTTTTTCCTTTTCTTACTTAAATTTTTTATTTCTTTTTTGTTACTTTTATTTCTTCTCTCTTTTTCCCCTTCCTTTTCTTTTACTTTTTCCTTACTTCAATTTTTCCTTTTTGTTATTTTTCTTTTCATCCTTGCTTTTTTTAACTCTTCTTTTTCACTTTCCTTTTCCTTTCTTTTTAGTTACTTTTTCTTTTTGTCCTCACATTTTTGTTTTTCCTTATTTTTTCTTTTTTCCTTTCTTTAATTTTTTTTCTTGTTTTTTTCTTACTTTCATTCTTTTTTTTTTTTACCATCCTCCCACTACACTTCTTTTTTTTTTTTTTGCTTCCTTCCTTCAATGGCTGAAATTTTCCCTTAATAATGATCTGTTATCCAACACTAATTGCATTTAAAACTGCTTACAGATTCCTTTTGATATCCTCATTCAACAAATGAACCCTCCCCAACTTGTTAGTAAAGCCGTATATTGTATTATTGGGAATAGTATTGTACAAAAAAAGGCAGTATGATTGACATATTTTTTTCACAACACCAACAATTATGACATGTTCTGTTTTAATAGACAGCTGATCTTATTGTCTGATTGTTTGTGATTTTGCCATTTGTATCAACCTTGAAAATAGATATTTACTTGACCCCCCCACTGAGTCAGGTTGTGACACAAGGTCAGTTTTTAACGTAGGGACCCGAGTGTTTTCCCTCGGGCCGCTGGTCATAGCTTGTCCAAGCTGGTTTAAGCTAGTCATAGCTGGTCTAAGCTAGACATAGCTGGTCTTGGCTTGTCATAGCTGGTCCAGACCCGGTTGATCAGGGATATTAACACATTTTCAGATAGAATTGATGATGACACCTGTGATAATCAGCTCAAATGTGGGTGAGATTCTGGAACATAGGAAACTGTTCCACTGAAGGTGGATATGAGCAATACAAGGTCACAGTCTTGATTGGCCCACCAGTGGGTGAAGAGCTAGGATAAAGCTTCCCGTCTCCCATCTGATACTTACAACACAGGACCACCAATCATATTGGGGTTCTTGGAAACTTTCCTTCCTCCCCTTCAAGGCGTATGACAGAAGAACATTGGTCAAGCATTATGATTGGCTGACCAGTCAGAGCAGTGCAATTGGAGTTTGCACCTCCATAAAAGTAGTTGCCAAAAGAGCAGAAGTATAGTCCCACCACTAGTAGACCAACTCTCTCCCTGCCAGATGACCATGGTGTCTCAATCAGCTAGAGTCCTGTTCTCTTTTTGAGTTCCCACAACTGCCATCATTTAAATAGTTAAACAACCCTGGACTGTTTAGCCATGACTGCAACCGCCAGTCAACCTCTCCCTCCCAGCTTAAGAATTCCTGACATGGGGAAACTTCTACAAATTTTTTGTTTATGTATTCATAATCTTAAACAATCATAATACCCTATTTACATTATTCAGACTATTGTCCTCATCTTTGTTGCCATATTTATTACAATGTTTTGGCCATTGTACGCTCCAGCCTTCTTCAGGTGCTTGGAATATCAAACCCTTTATTTTGCTCATTGGGGTAGACTGTTCTAGTTCTACATGCCATGTTTAATGGATGTCAGTTATCAGTTATCTCCTGTTAATTCCCCTCTCCAAGTTCTCCACTGCCTTAACCGGGTATTGAACTCACACTCCTTGGGTCCTGTCACTGGATCTAACAAACGCCTTTATCCACTGTGCCATGTGTCCGGCCTTCTTCATGTGGTTGGAATGTCCTCAAGGACACATGGCACAGTGGATAAACAATGGATAGGACAAATAGAGTTCAATACCCAGGTAAGGCAATGAAGAACTTGGAGAGGGAATTAACAGGAGATAACTGACATCCATTAAACATGGCACGTGGGAACTAGAACAGCTCCCCAGTGAGCTAAAAAGGGGTTCAATCTGACGTTCCAAGCACCTGAAGAAGGCCGGAGTGTACAATGACCGAAACGTTGTAATAAAGATTGTGACAAAGATGAGGACAATAGTCCGACTAATGTAAATAGTGTACATGATACCTCATCTCAGAAATATAGACAGATACTGAATCATAATACCATAAATAAAAGTTATTTTTACACTTGTTAATGTGTGTTGTTGAAGGTAATTAAATTTCAGCCAGGTCAGAGGGGAGTCAAGCCTGATTTTTGACAAGCCTTCACCAATATTCCTGTGTATGTGGAGATACAACGTGGGGGTGCAGGATTGGTGCAGAGTGAGCTAGCCAGAGACAGACCAGAGTAAGAGTGGTATTCAGCGAAGGGGTTATAGGTTGGTAATTGGGCTTAAAGCTATACCATATTGAGACACCAGTTCTTATATCATTATGAAGTTAAGCAACATTGAACCTGGTCAGTACCTAGATGGGTAACCATTTGGGAATACCAGGTGCTGTCAGCTTGGAAGTATAGATGGTGTAATGAATAACTCTGAATTGGTGATCGGAGAGCTGAGTTCCAATTTCAGTTGGGTTTGTTATTATTTACTTATATTTCCCAAGGGTATTTGCATGTATAAATCCATGTTTTCTCTCCTTCCCCAGCCATGGCTTAATTAGTAGACCTTGTATTTGTATGAAAAAAAAATGTAAAAATATTTTCTGGCTTTAAATAATCTGCAAAAGGTTGGTAAGTCATAAAAAATAAATCAGTTATTTACAATGATTTGTTATTAAAAATGCGGCTTTCTGATAACTCAAGTAACTTTCTGTAGAGTTTGATGTGGAAAAGTTATCATCTCTTGAATCTGGTTTTAATTATAAAGTTTTACTCATCAAAACATTTGGCGGCAATGAAGAAAGAAATAATAATTGGTTGATCTAAGGTCAGGCGGTGTAGGACAGACCAAATGGAGAGCCCGCATTTTAATCCTTATAGAGCCTTGCATTGTAGTGGTGAGCAACATTTTTTTTTTTTTGTTGGTGTTTAATATTTACTGTATATGCTACCACTATGTCAGTTCAAGGTCTCTCAGCCCTTTTCTTCCCTGTGGCTCATTTTTGGTGTTAAAAAAAAAAATTCAAACCCACACAAGCACAAATAAAAATTTCACATAACTGGAAATACATTTTATTTAGAAAAGCAAAATATAGTAGAAAATATAAACTCTGACAAATGACTACATGTCTCCGAGTGTCTCTAGGCCTGTTTAAAATATTTCTAGGGTCTAAGGACTCATGTTAAAAAATAACCGAGTTAGTGTACCCCAAATTTATTCTTAACTGCCATGTTTGCTTAGTAGTCAGAATAATATGCTCAGCCTTAAAACTGGCTCCCAAAAATGGAAATTATTTATGACTAAACCAATAATTACATTTATCAAAAGAAATTAAGTAACAAAAGAAAAATAATAATAAAAAAAAGCTCTAATTCTTGTAAACTATTGTCTGCAACTTTCAAGAAAGCTAGTAGTAGCATATCCGAGACTGTTCTGACACACAAGTCTCTTCTTTGCTATTTGTTAACCTAATGATTTGGTTCTCATGAAATGTAATCCTGGAGAATGAAGGAAATTGTTGAGATGATGGATTACACATGACAAGGGTTCAACAAAAATGGTTTAACAGCAGTAACATAGCAAAGATTTTAGCATCTGCACAATGTTAGATATGTAAAGGACCTGTGTGGGTTTTCATGTTGTTGAATTAGAAACACGTGCTGTTTATTCCTGCTAGAAGGTCCACTAACAGAACATGGCAGATTTAGAAACTTGAATCCACCATAAAGAAATGTAAAGAAAACAAACAAGACTGATATATATATATATATATATATATATATGTCAACAAATATATGTATTAAACAACAAGATTTACAATGGACATAGACATTAACATTTGTGTTTGTGTGTGAATGTAAAGACTTTGTATTTTGAGAATGTTCACATGTACGTGTGTGTAATGTTCATGGCATCTTCCACAAGTGGGAAGACATAATCTTCTGCGAGAGCTTACATTGTAGATGTGTTCGCTGAAATGAAGAAATGAAAACGAGAACGAGGCAAGAAGTCGCCCAGTATTTATAGTGTAGGGAAAGCGACCTCTAGTGAACAATTAGGGAATTAAGGAGGAGTTAACTCCAACAGATAAGTTATGAAAACCTTTCCAGTTCTATGCACCAAATTAGTTCTGAGCCAAAATTCCAATTATAGATTCTTTGTTCACATTCGCCATGTTGATATCTCTGGAGTTTCTTCTAGTTTTGGACTTTCTGGAATATATGGGGGAAAAAAAGGATTCCATTTGTTTGATGGAATGATTTGAAGAAAGAAATTTAATACAAACCATTTTTTTAATGTACATTTTTGTATTGTGATTCGTTTTAAAATTTAATTTTTTAATACTTGTGATATCAAATGATATTTGTCAAACTATTTCAAATATTTTCAATAAATTATTGTAAATAGACAAAAATATATGATTTAAAAAGTTTACAAATTATTCCCCTTTATCAGCTGACGTTTGTCAGTATGCTTTGATTTTTAGCTGATTTATTTCAAAGTTTTTAAAATGTTGCATGTTAGGATTTTGGGGGTAAAATTCTATTTGAAACCATTGTGCCCAAGTTTGATTTATCTATATTCTATTAGCTCTGTCCCATAAGAGTTTCATACAATAAATATAGCAACAATTTTAGGGCGGAGGTAATATTATGTATTTAAAAATGACTGTCAATAAAATGGATTTGCTGGAAACAAACTTACCTCCCTTGTCTTTTTTTTTTTTTTTAATTTCTCCCCCCACCCCCAAAAAATCTTCAATGCAAAATTTAAAAATAAAACGGCCGAAATTTTGATCAGATACCGACACTAAACACTTATTGCCAACCGACTTATGTAGAAATCTTATTTTATTTGCTTATATTTTAAGAGATGTATCTAAATGGTCGCCATAGCTATCAGATGAAATTACGGAATGCAACAAACTCAAATAATACCAAACAGATGTACTACTTGATGAAACAAGTATTTGGCCCCAGATCCACCAAGATCGCTCCTCTCAAGACAGAGGGCG